ATATATATATAGTATAATAATAATATAATATATATATATATATATATATTGATTTTATATAGAGCTCTTCATTTTAATAATAATGAGTTTGGAAATTTTTTGCTCTGCATTAACTTTAAATAAATATACTTGCTTATTATTGATTTACACAACTATTGATTTATATAAAAAAGAAGCTGTACACATAAGAGAGAAGTAGTAGTACGAAAGATGGATTTTATATTTTTAAGTTATATTTGTAGATTATATCATCGATTTCAATTTTATCTTGTAGTTTTATTTTCATAATTATCATGTGCACTAATAATTTAAATTTTACAGATGGAATTTCCTATTATTTTGGAAGATACTTCGTTTGTAAGACTTTGGTATAAGAAAGATAACGAATTTCTTGTACCAAAAAGCGAGGATGATCTTCCATTTAGTCAGGTATGCAATAAAAATGATAAGAAATACATCATTTTTTTAACTTTAAATATATGACTTATTATATATGACTTATTACATAAACAATTGAAATATTTTTAAATAAGGTTTGTGATCTAAATAAGATTTTCAGAATTTTATTTTTATTTTCACAATTTATAAAAGTTTTAACAATAAAATAATTAAACTTATAATATGAATATAAGTTCAATATATTTGAAATCATATCATTAAAGAAATAAATTTGTAATTATGTATTTTCAAACACTGTTATTTAAAGATGTCTTAAATACAAATAATGCTATAATCATTTTTCTAATAAAAAAAATATATTTCGTCATTATTGTACAAGTTTTATTTTATTCTTAATTTATAGTCCAATTGCTCATATGGATCCTCTTCATTCCAATTTGACTCATCTGCTTCTCCATCTAGTTAATTATTCTTTAAAGGAATATGCCACGATAGCTGGTTTACAATGGAACCTTAATACTTCTGACTATGGAATAATAGTGAGTACATATATACAACAAAAAAGATACTAAGCGTATCCTATGATATTATTTAAATAATTATTATTCAATTTGTAATGAAATTATTATCTAAAATAAATATTATTTTATATATGCGTAAAATATTATTTATTCATAGATCAAATTTAATTTTATTTGTA